GCTCCATCGCGGCCTCACTGCGCCGCGCGCCTGCCTGCCCGTGGCGCCCGCTGCCGACGGCGCTCGCTGCGGCTCCGCGGTCCCGCCCGGGTCCGCCCCTACCACCATCGCCGCTCGCCTGCCTCCACGATGGCTAGCCCCCTCCAGCGACCTCCCGCGCCGTCACGCTCTGGCCCCCTCCGACCTTGCCCCGCTACCGGGCGGGCGATGGCTTCGCCCGCACCGCCCGTTCGGGCACGCCCGATCCGCTTGGCCCCTGGGCTAATGACAGGGGCCCCACCCCCTTGAAACGTTAAAAAAAGAATTAAAAAGAGTTAAAAATGAATTTTAAATAAATGAATAAATTATCAATCAATTAATTAATTAATTAATTAATTAATTCTGTTAACTAAACTAATTAACCCTAAATTAATCTACTAACTAATCTAATTAATCTATTAGTTAATTAGACAGCCCATGACATGCAGGATCCACACGTTAGTTTGACCAAGTCAACTGACTGTTGACTGCCGACATCACCCTGATATCATGCTGACGTCATAATGGCATTTCCTAATTAAATTAATTCTGTTAATTCTAAAAATGAATTAAAACTTTGAAAATTAATATTAAATAACCCGTAGCTCGGATGAAAAAACTTTGTACATGAAAGTTGCTCAGAACCACGTGACGAATCCGAATACGCAGCCCGTTCGTCAGCCACACATCCCTAGCATAGCGAACCTGCCACATTTCACCTCTGGTTCATCTGCCCGAAAATGCAAAACACCGGGGATACTTTCTCGGATGTTTCCCCCCTTCACCGGTATCACCTACTACCGCGTTAGGGCACACCTAGCACCGCTCATTGTCATGTCATGCATCATCATGCTTATGTTTGCATTGTATTTATTGTTTCTTTCCCCTCTTCTCTCCGGTAGACTACGAGACCGACGTTGCTGCTGCCCTGGTCGACTACGGAGTTGACGACCCACTACTAGGGAAAACCTTATACACAAAACTTTAGCAGTAGCGCTTGTTAAAAAAGCTCGCTACCACTAGACAACAGTAGCGCGTGCAAAATAAGCGCGCTGCAGATACATATATAGCAATAGCGCGTCTCGTCGGAAAAGCACTACTACTAAAATTCCAACTACTAAGCCGATAGGCTACACATAGTAGTGGCGATCTCTCAAGAACCGTGCTAGCGCTAATATTGTTATAGCAGCACGTTTAGGTGTAAGGCGCTACTGCTAACGAAAATAAAATAAAATGAAAAACAAATAGAAAAGTAAATGAAAATGAAAGAAATAGAAAAAGGAGAAAGGAAAAAGTAAAATGTAAAGAAAAATAAACGAAAAAGGGAAAAAAGGAGGAAGGCATAGCAGTAGCGCGTTTGCTGAAACACGCTATAGCTAACTTAGCTATAACGCGTTTTCAGTAACGCGCTATAGCTAACTTCGCTATAGCGCGTTTTCAGTAACGCGCTACCATTATGTTTCACTTAACCAGCGGTTTCCTTCCCCCCGGCCACCACTTCTCCCGCAAATCCCTCGCCCCACTTTGCCGCCGTCTCCCCAATTCATCGTCACCCCACTTCGCCGCCGTCTCCTGTCGGCGTCGATGCCCGCAACCTCACCGTCTCCCCTGGAGGCCGCGCTCATCCTCACCGCCACCACCTGAGGCTACCCAGCCTCACCGCCACCGCCTCTCGGGCCGCCCTCGACCTCACCGTCGCCGCCATCGACCTCACCGCCGTCGCCCTCGATCTCACCGCCGCCCCAGCCCGCCCAGGACCGCCGCTGCCTGATAACCCACAAGTATAGGGGATCGCAACAGTTTTCGAGGGTAGAGTATTCAACCCAAATTTATTGATTCGACACAAGGGGAGCCAAAGAATATTCTCAAGTATTAGCAGTTGAGTTGTCAATTCAACCGCACCTGGGAAACTTAATATCTGTAGCAAAGTATTTAGTATGGAAGTGCGGTAACAGTGGCAAAAGTAACAGTTGCAATTTTGTAGTAATTGTAACAGTGGCAACGGTAAAGTAACTAAACAAAGATCAATATCTGAAAAGCTTGTAGGCATTGGATCAGTGATGGATAATTATGTCAGATCTGATTCCTCATGCAGCAGTTATAATATAGGGTGACACAGAACTAGCTCCAGTTCATCAATGTAATGTAGGCATGTATTCCGAATATAGTCATACGTGCTTATGGAAAAGAACATGCATGACATCTTTTGTCCTACCCTCCTGTGGCAGCGGGGTCCTATTGGAAACTAAGGGATATTAAGGCCTCCTTTTAATAGAGTACCGGACCAACGAATTAACACTTAGTGAATACATGAACTCCTCAAACTACGGTCATCACCGGGAGTGGTCCCGACTATTGTCACTTCAGGGTTGCCGGATCATAACACATAGTAGGTGACTATTGACTTGCAAGATAGGATCAAGAACTCACATATATTCATGAAAACATAATAGGTTCAGATATGAAATCATGGCACTCGGGCCCTAGTGACAAGCATTAAGCATAACAAAGTCATAGCAACATCAATCTCAGAACATAATGGATACTAGGGATCAAACCCTAACAAAACTAACTTGATTAAATGGTAATCTCATCCAACCCATCACCGTCCAGCAAGCCTACGTTGGAATTACTCACGCACGGCGGTGAGCATCATGAAATTTGTGATGGAGGATGGTTGATGATGATGATGGCGATGGATTACCCTCTCCGAAGCCCCGAACAAACTCCAAATCAGGCTTCCCGAGAGAGATTAGGAATTGGCGGTGGCTCCGTGTCGTAAAATGCGATGAATCCTTCTCTCTGATTTTTTTCTCCCCGAACGTGAATATATAGAGTTGGAGTTGAGGTCGGTGGAGCATCAGGGGGGCCCACGAGGCAGGGGCGCCCCCCACACCCTCGTGGACAGGGTGTGGGCATGCTGGTCTTGATTCTTTCGCCAGTATATTTTATTAATTCCAAAAATATTCTACGTGAAGTTTCAGGTCATTCCGAGAACTTTTATTTCTGCACAAAAATAACACCATGGCAATTCTGCTGAAAACAACGCCAGTCCGGGTTAGTTCCATTCAAATCATGCAAGTTAGAGTCGAAAACAAGGGCAAAAGTGTTTTGAAAAGTAGATACGATGGAGACGTATCACTTCCCGAGCCCGAGCCCGCCCTCCCCGCCCCTGCCTCCGTCGCCGAGCACCTCCCCGCCACTGTCTCTCCTCTCTCTATAAGCCCCCACCCCTCCTCTCTTTCTGCATTTTAGAGCAAAAATTAGTTTAGAGCAAAAGTTAGTTTATAGCAAAAAATTTAGTTTTGAGCAAAAGATGTTAAGTAGTAGCACTACAAAAAAAAGACACATC